GCAAAATTACATGCTTCGTTATTAGGCTTGGGTAAATTTTAATTTAATTCCAAACTAAAAATAATTAGGTTCGGATTACTATAAATATGTTGATTATTTATGGTCATGTTACATGTATTAATTGCATTTTAATTTCATTCCTTATTATAACTATTGAATTGTATATATATATATATTTTAAAAGTTAATAACTTTTGTATTTTTTATCAGTTTGACATATGTAATATATCAAATTAGTCTTCTTTTGATGAGCTTCGATTTAACATCCATATTGTATGTATAAAAAAATAATTTATGTTTATCTTTATAACAATAATAAAAAAATTGTTAATAATTATAATTAGAAAAATATTTAATAATAATTAGAAAAATTAAATTATTTAATAACAACTAGAAAAATTAATAATAACAAAAAATTATAATAATAATTTTTATAACAAAAAAAATATATTTAATAATAATTAGAAAAATTAAATTATTTATCAACTAATATATTTATATTTCAAGTAGTTATATGATATAAGTTATAAAAACTAATATAATATAACACATGTAAGTCATAAGTAACACATATCATTCTAAAATATATAGTAATATATTTTTTTTCGTAAAAAAGTAAACTAAATTTAATATAGTTTTCTCATTAATTTTAAAATTTAAGAATAATGTTTTAACAAGCACCCGTGTAATACACGGGTGTTGTACTAGTTTCTACTATTCAATTTGACTAATTAGATTTAATTAATTAGTGTTTGGTGATTAATAATTAATGAAAATTAATGGCTAGCGGTTCATAGCTATATTAATCATTTTGACTATCATATTCCGTTAATTAAAATTTGATAAATAATTAATAGCAATTTAACTGTTAGCGGATAATTGATGGTAAATTATATTAACTATTTTAACTATCAAATACCCTTATTTGTGTTTGGTGAACATTTAATAATGATTATAGGTTATTAGATAGTTGATATTTGATTATATTAGCAATTTTTACTAGGGATTCCATTAGGTAGGGCTTACTTGGATATAGATATATTGAATTTTGTTCTTCATTATTATTATTATTATTATTATTATTATTATTATTATTATTATTATTATTATTATTATTATTATTATTATTATTATTATTTTAACTTAAGGTAATTTTGAAAAAGTTGTTTGATTAATGCTTAATTCTATCTTATGTTTGTCACAAGTAATATATCAAATTAATATTCTTTGCATTTGAGTGGGTATTATTTACATAAAATATTTTCTATATATCTTTCTAACTCTTATTGAGAAATAATATCTTTTTTATAAGTTCTAAGTTTAAATAATTTACATTGATCCCTATATGTACCTTTAGAAGTTATAATTAAATTTATCTAAAGTTATAATTAAAAAATAACAAAATGATTATTAATCTTATTTAAAAAATAAATCCAACATACAATGTATTAAATAAATATGATTAGGAATTATAAATTGATCTCATGTAACACAAACTTTTTTTATAATAAAATTAATAATACAATTTTTGTTTTTTTAAAAAAAATGTAAGTGATTAAAGCTAATGAAAAGTATTAAGGTTAATTTAATAAAAATAATATTTATGTATATATTTTTAAATTCATAAGGATAATAGAAGTCATCCACAGTCCATGAGTGTTCATTTTTGTGGTAATGCCCAACAATTTATGTCTCTAATGGCGGCAGCTCGCAATATTACTGTTGCAAATCGAAATCAAACCTGCCCGATTACAACCTCATCCTCTCAACTATCTGCCTTAATCGGCAATCCTCGACCCAACACGTTCCAGTTTTCCGGCACCACTTTCCCCCGGATTCACCGCCGCTGCAGTTCGATTCCGTCGCTTTCCAGAAGGCTTATCGTTGTCTCTGCAGTTTCCGAGCTCTGGAATGCCTTAACCGGCGCCGACCCGGCCCGCGAATCCCTCCTCTCTATCCGACGCGGGATGCTTCTCTTCAGACAGGTACTTGAATTGTTACATTCCAAGATTTTGTAATGTTATTTCCTCTGTTTCACTGTGATGAAGCTAGTTAACGGGTTTTGAAAATTGAAATGAAAAAAAAAAAAAAAAGAAAAATGCCCAAATTGATGTTAGGGTTCCTTTTGTTACGTATGTGTTTTATGTTTTGGTTTGTGGTTGCGCCGTGAATCTTACTTTTGTGTTTTGTGGTGAAGGGGGACGTGCAGGGCTCGCTAGTCGAGTTCGACAGGGCTATCGAGCTCGATCAGCGCCAGAGGGCGTGTAAGTTTTCTTGTAAATTGTTCGAATTAGTTGAAAGGAGGTAGAAGCATATTAGTTGAGAAGTAGCCAATGTTCATATGGAATTATTTCAGAATATCGTGATTGATGGAAATTTTGATTTTTCTGGTGTTAGCTTGCTGGTTTTGAGATGTTTATTTTATGTTATTACTTTAACTTTTAACTAGCTTCCTCTTATATGGATGATGGTGTTAGCTTAGTAAATTTGGTTTAATCTACATGGAAAGAACGATTGATTATTGTGTAATGATATAAAAGCCTTCTGTTAGGTAATCAGACCTTTGGCAGAGAGGGTTATCACTATACTATCTTGATCGGTACTGGTTTTTTCGTGTCTTATCTTTTTGCCTTTTTCGTTTTACTTACAATGGTTTTTTCCCAATTGATTGTTTAACGTTTGGTGGTTATATTATGTACTCTTTTTATTAGATTTGAAGAGGGAGCAGAGCAATTTAGACTAGATGTTGCACAAAACCCCAATGATACCGAGGAATCAATTTGGTGTTTTCTCTGTGAAGCTCGATTATATGGCGTTGATGAGGCAAGAAAACAGTTTCTAGAGGTTAACAGCTAAGATTATTCTTGAAACTACCTTATTATGCTATAAATGTGCTCACTATTTCTTATCCTACTTGGCATCACTTTGCATTTAAATTGCTTTGTCCGAGTACAAACTAAAATTCTTATTCACTGTTAATCTCATAAATTCATAATTGTGGCGCATTGAGGAAGCTAATCAAGAACTGTATCTCGATATGCATTTCATGGTCTTTCGCTGTTTACAAAGGACGTATTATGCAGTATCTTGCAACTTCTAGGAAAGTAGATTATTTGTCTATTGTAGGTTGGTACAGATCCCCGGCCTGTCATGAGGGAAGCTTATCGCTTGTTTAGAGATGGTGGTGACCCAGAAAAGGTGAATTTACAAGTTATAATGTATAGCCATTTTTGTATTTTATTATACGATCGAGCTATGCATTTTTTTTTAATTATTTAAATGCATCGAAGTATTGAGATGTGCATAAATTGGCAAATTATTAACACAGTTTTTGTGTGCAGCTCGTTTCAGCATTTTCATGTGGACGGCAGAACGAATATTTTTATGCCTCTTTGTATGCTGGGCTTTATTATGAATCTCAGGTTTTCTGCTGAACCATATTTTCTTTGAATATCCAGTACAAGTTTTTCTTTTAGTCGGGCATAGGTAATTCAAGAATTATTCACTGCTTTGATTATGTGAAATTTGGTTTCAGCTCTTCTCTTTTTAACAGAACTACTAAATGGAAACTTTCATAGAAATGTTTTTGTGATTCTATAAACAAGATGAATATATCTCCTGATTTGAAAATATCCCTAATTATTTCTCTGGTGAGAAAGACTAGGGACATCAACCAAATCAAATGCATCAAGGATGGGTCGGATCGGCCACTGGTGAAGGATGGGGATGGGGAGATCAAGGACAGATGGTGAGAGTACTTCGACAAATTGTTTAATGGGAAGAGTGAGGGTCCTACCCTGGAGTTGAATGACTCATTTGAGGATACCGATAGACGCTTGGTGAGGAGAATTCGGGAGACAAAGATCGGAGAGGCTATGAAGAGGATGAAGGGAGGTAAAGCAATGGGTCCTGATGGTATCCAATTGAGGTGTGGAGATGCTTGGGCGCCAGAGCGTTAGTATGACTAACTAAGGTTTTTAACCTCATTTTCCGGTCAAACAAGATGTCTGATGAATGGAGGAGAAGTACTTTAGTACCGATCTTCAAGAACAAGGGTGATGTTCAAAGCTGTGGTAACTGCCGTGGGATTAAGTTGATGAGCCATACGATGAAGCTCTTGGAGAGGGTTATCGTGCATCGCCTATGACGAGTGACGAGTGTGACCCAAAAAAAATTTGGGTTTATGCCTGGAAGGTCGACCATGGAGGCGATTTTCCTAATACGACAGTTGATGGAGAGATATAGGGACCAAAAGAAGGACTTGCACATAGTCTTTATCGACCTTGAGAAAGCTTATGACAGAGTACCGAGGAATGTCATGTGGTGGGCCTTAGAAAAGCACAAAGTCCCATCTAAGTACATTACCTTCATCAAGGATATGTACAAGGATGCGATGACGTGTGTCCGAACATGTGGGGGCGATACCAGCGACTTCCCAATTAAAATAGGACTACACCAGGGGTCAACATTGAGTCCTTATTTATTTGCTTTAGTGATGGATGACCACAAGGGACATACAAGGTGATATCTCTTGGTGTATGCTCTTTGCTGATGATGTGGTGCTAGTTGACGAGAGTATGACATGGGTAAATAGGAAGTTAGAGTTGTGGAAGGACACGCTAGAGTCGAAAGGCTTCAAACTTAGTAGAACGATGACCGAGTACATGACGTGCGCTTTCAGCATGGCTACTCATGATGATGGTGATGTTAGCCTTGACGGGCAAGTGGTGGCCAAGAAGTAGACTTTTCGGTATTTAGGATCGATGCTACAAAAGGATGGCGGCATTGATGAAGATGCTAGACATAGAATTGCAGCCGGTTGGTTGAAATGGCGTCAAGCTTCTGGCGTTCTATGTGATAAGAGGGTGCCACAAAGGCTAAAAGGCAAGTTCTATAGGACGGCGATTCGCCCGACGATGCTATACGGTGCTGAATGTTGGCCTACATGAAGACAACATGTCCAACAACTAAGTGTAGCAGAGATGCGTATGTTGCGTTGGTTTTGCGGGCACACAAGAAGGGATAGAATCCGGAATGAGGATATTCGAGATAGGGTCGGGGTGACTCCAACTGATGAGAAATTGGTTCAACATCGGCTGAGGTGGTTCGGACATGTCCAACGGAGGCCTCCTGATGCACCGGTGCGTAGGGGAGTTTTACAGCGGGTCGATGATGTTAAGAGAGGTAGAGGTCGGCCTAAACTCACTTGGGAAGAGTCGGTTCAGAGAGACATTAAAAATTGGAATATCTCCAAGGATTTAGCGGTGGATAAGAGCGCTTGGAGGCTAGCGATTAACGCGCCGGAACCGTGACTTTTGCTCCTTTCTCTTTTGCTCCAATCTCTTTCTTTTGTTTTGTTTTGTTTTTGTTTTGAGTTTTGTTTTGTTTTGTGTTGTTCTGTTTTGTTTTGTTTTGAAACCCTTTTTTGTGTTTCTTACGACTGTTTCTCTTGGGTTTCATCTCTAGCCTACCCCAACTTGTTTGTGACTAAAAGACTTTGTTGTTGTTGTATTTCTCTGGTGCAGAATAAGCATGATGAAGCTAAACTTCACCTAATGGCTGCATGTAAATGTCCTTATGGTTCGAGGTTTGGTGTTTGCAATTATATTTCACTTATATATATATTACAATCTATGTTGTATCTAATAATGGTTATAACTCAGGTCCGATGACTACATGGCTTCGCTAGCGAAGGTTCACTGTGATTGCCGAAATTGGAGATTCGGTTGAAAAATCGAAATGCAATCCCTTCACTTGCCACACATTTGACTCTGAAGAATTATTATCAATTACCATATTTCTGAAAAAAAAAAAAAGGTTTCAAATCTGGTTTTAATTGAGCTGTGTGTAAAATTCGATTGTATTGTAAAATAAAAGTCTAGCATGACTTGGCTTAATATTATACTGTGTACAGATTCAACTTAAGCCAAAATCTTGATATTCTCTGTTGATATATTCTTTGGTGTCCCTTAGCTTAGCAGGGTGAGCTTCATATGCCCACGGGGGTTACAAGTTTTAACTAGAGGATTAGTAAAGTTGTATGCTAGTTTATTAAGTTGCAACTTGTAATAGCACTTTTAGTTATCGGTTTAATAGCACTTATAGTCAAAGTCGTTAAGCTTGAGTATTAATAAAAAGGTACGATCCAACTCAATCCAACTCAAAAGCTTTTATGTTCTTACATTCATGTCTTCACTTTTTTGAGTGGCCATTGTTTTTGAAATTTTGAATCATTACCATAAATTTCATATCTGCACTTAGACAAAGTATGAGTCATTTGAAACAAAAAATTCGTCACACGACTATCGATTTAGGCGTGTCAGCTGAAAAACTAGAATACTATGAGGATGGTGAACTTATAGTTACGGACCTTATGACGAAGCTAAAATCAGTAAGAGGATTTCTTGTTTGCTTTCCATTGGAGTTCATGAGCCAAGAAGATGACCTCAAGACCCTTGTTTATTGAAGGTGAGTTTTATGCTTCCCCTCAAGTTTTCCATTGATTTGATGTACAAAAAATCAAGATCATAGATAGGACACAAGTACATAACCTTAATGTAAATTCTTTCCAACCATGTAAATTAAAGACTTGTCCAATTCTTCAACAATGTACATATTTATTTCACCATGAGTGTTGTACTGTTGTTGTTTACAGAATTCAATCCGTGTATCTCTCAATTTCTTAGGGCGTGCTTGTTTACAATTAAATCCGCTGAAAATGAAATTTTTCGATCAAGCAGGGTTATTTTTAAAAAAGTTGGATGGTTAGTTGCTATTGGAATTTTGATTTTATATTAAAATAATATTTAAAATAAAACAGTTAAAGTTGATTTAATGAAAAATAAGAGTAAAATTATGTGAAGTGATAATTAAAATTATGTGAGTGGATAAATATCGATTTAAATTTGATATAATATGTAAAGATGGTTGGTTTGTATTATGTAATTATATCAATAATATTGAGAATAGTTTGTCAAAAAAATTAATAATACTGAGAATAATGGAGTTGGTTAAAGTTGAGTTAAATATCTATAGTCTTTTTTTGGTACCCTAACTTTTCCCTCATCAATAATAGTACGTTATGTTGCAATTTGTATCCTTATTGGACATAAATTCTAAAAATGGTACGCTAATTTTTGGGATTAATGTCCCAAAAAATGGTATAAATTGCAATATAATGTACAACTTTTTAGTAATGATTCAAAAATGATACAAATTGCAACATAATATGCTACTATATTTGATAAAGAGAAAGTTAGTGTAAAAAAAAAAGACTTTAGATAAGTAAACAGATTAAAATTGAATTTATTCCCCCCAATATACATAGATAGATGGAGAACAACTTAGTAAGGAATTTTTTTACTGATGAGCACCCAAAACAACTCAACTAGTGTGTTCTATAAAGGTGCATCTTGAATTTGAATTTCCCCACATAGAGGAGATGAATGAAAAAAGAGTACAATTGCTGATATATCATCCATAGCTATTCCCTTTCTCTTCCTCTTCCAAGCACGAGCCGCACATTTGACTAAACGCTTGGCCGATTTCGCCCGGTCGGGGCTCGTTGATACAATTTGCACGGCTTCTTGATTAGACACGACATCCCAAACCTTTAGGTGTCCGAAAAATTAACGAAAAAAAAAAAGCAAGAAGATCGGCATTTTTAAGTTTTAACATTTTAACAGCGTGGTTATTTAGGCTATGTTTGGTAGTCCAATAAGCTAAATTATAGCTTATTTGGTTAGCTTAAAAGCTTCTTTTATTCAAATAAGTTTGGTTTAGTAGGACGAGATTTTTTAAAAAGCTCGAGCTTATCTCATAAGCTTCTTTGGGTAGCTTTTCAAATAAGTTCGTCTATATTTTTATTTCCTAGCTAATTTTACCAAATGTTTTTAACATATAAGCTAGTTTTTTTCAGCTATAAGCTCGAAAATCACTTATAAGCTATAAGCTAGTTTATCAGTTATCTAGGTTATCAATTAATTTTTACCAAACATAGCCTTAGGGAGGTTTAAATTAAAAAGAAAAAATACCCCATCGGTTGCTAGCACTATGAATTGGTCTTTGCTTGTGATGTGCCTATGAGTCACCTCGGGCACGGATATAAGTCCAAAATCCTTCACACAATAGTCCCCGAATGCTCGGGACATTGCTAGTCCAGGAGAGTTATCGTGGGGCAGCCACACCCTATGAACACCCGGCTCGTCATCCAGACAATAGACTCGACCCTGGCACTGGCTTATCCGCTCCGCCTCCTCTGTATGATTATTATAAGACAGTCATTGGAAAGTAACATTAGGTTCCATTTTTTTTTTTATTCTTCATCAAGTATTACCTTAAGCAATAAAGGTACTAAATTTATGTCTAGAAAGTATTGTGGAAATAAAAAAATAAAAAGAAAAGGATATTTCATGGCAAAATCAGTCTAAATGTGAGGCGTACTGACGAGAGACTTGATAGAAACAATGCATACAATACACATTTGCTTATATATACATATATGAAATTAAAAAAAAAAAAAAAAAGGATATCCTACTAACTAAACAGACTTACGAGGCAGATTTGGTTTGAAGTCGACTGTGAGCTGAACGGCCACCAAGTTTCCACTCTCGGAAGTGGTGCCAAATACAGCACGTGAATCTCCAACGTTTGCTAAGTAGATAATGTCTCCCTGAAAGAATATTAATGTTTGGAAAAAAAAAAGCATAAGAAAGCTAATTTCAATGCTAATGGAATGGAAGACTTCTTGATATGAGAAAATACCAACTAATTGAATTTTGCATAAATAGTTTGATAGTGATGTGGTAAACAACTCTGCTAATATAATTTCTGCTAATATATACGAGTTGAAAAAAAATGATGGAGACCTCCAAACGGCAATACTCTTAAAAAAAATTGTAGAGGATTCTTGAAAATTACAGGATAAAAAAATATGAAATGCATGTGGTAGTAATTGACTAAAAAGATAACCATAAAGATGGTCCCGTTCGAATAATGTAGAATAAATTTCTGATCGAACAAACGATTTCTTGAGGACCACCTGAGATATGAGGACCTTTCACCCTTGAATGGTCTTGAGTTTCAACATAACTTTAGAAGGATAACAATCAATAATAATAATAATGAGAAAAGGAAAAACAAAATGAGAACACAAGATACAAGCAAACACGACGCATTTAGTTATATGTAGACTCGAAAAATGCAACGTGTTTTAGTGTCCAAACATACGTAAAAAGTTTATAATTAATATGATGCCTCGTATTTCATAGTCCCAAAACAAATTCTGATCTTTTCGAGTTTTTTCTTCTTTTTTTTTTTATATTGAAACTGATTCTGCTTTTTGGATGATTTCCCAAAACATATGACGAGCACAAAATCACTTCTACTTGTAGGGGTAAACTGAGAGTTTAGTGGGCTCTGATTAAGCCACAAAACTTCAATAAGAAAATGTCTAAAAATGACTCACAAATTAAATAAACAAAGAAATAACACAAGGCATGCCCCTAAAGTCAAAACTTTATGGAAAACAATCAATTCATATCTAAGTACTAGAGATCCTTATGTTGAATAAAAGAAGCCTACTTAATATGTTAAAAGTTAAAAAAAAAA